CTGGACTCATCAACCTGGAAAGTCGATGCTAGAGGGAAGGGGACCCACTGGAATGTTAAGTCCATGCGCCACGCGGATAAGATAAACGTAGATTTTTTTTTCGCCATATTCTGAAATTCTTGAGTGAGGGAAATTTGGATCAAATTAAAGGAAATTCCACTCCATGCCACTGATAATAAAATGAAAGCAGCTTGTTATTCTCAAGATGTGGTACTGGCAGGAGATATAACCGGATGTGAAAGGATCTGAAGGACTAGTGGCTGCCAGCAGAGGCTGAGAGCTATGTGACCTGAAGGCACAGAAAACCATGCTCCTTCCAGCGACCCCCTTTGGGGGCACCTTTGTCAGCAGAGCCTAGACAACTCGCCCAGGTTGAGAATTCCCATACTTTGGGTGATGGCAGTTTCTGAATTTGCTCCTGTGCTTTCACCAGCTTCCCTTCCCACTCTGGAGCCCGAGTCAGTGCTTTGGCTTCTAACTAATGACATATGCAAACCAGAATCTGATTCAATGTAGAAAATTATTTAGGAAGAAGGAGGAATGAATCCAATGCTATTCCATCCATCCGTACATCCATCCATCCATCTATCCATCCATCCATCCATCCATCCAACAGATATTTGTTGGCCAACTACCAAGCATGAGTCATGAAAGGACTCATTAATGGCAATAAATACAATAAATAAATATGTACACTATGTAATTATGGATTATGGAAATGTTATAAAGCAAGGAACCCTGAGCTCTGAGAGGAAGTGTTGTGTGGTGTGGCAAGTGGGAGGCTGGGGGTGGTACCGGGAGAGTACTTAGATAAGCCGGCCAGAGAAGGGCTCCCCGAAAAAGAAATAATTCATCTGGGGCCACCTGGGTGGCTCAGTCGGTTAAATGTCTGACTTTAGCTCGGGTCATGATCTTGCGGTTCGTGAGTTCGAGCCCTGTGTCCGGCTCTGTGCTGATGGCTCAGAGCCTAGAGCCTGCTTTGGATTCCGTGTCTCCCCCTCTTTTATGCCCCTCCCCCATTTGTGCACTTGCTTTCTCTCTCTGTCTCTCTTTCAAAAATAAACACACACACACACACACACACACACACACACACACACACACACACAGAATTCATCTGGGACCTAAGGGATGAACCGACCCAGCCATGCCTAGTTTGGGAAGAACAATCCCAGCAGAGAGAACACACATAGCAAGCTTCCAGTGTGTGACAGAGTTTGGTGTAGGGAGGCCAGCATGGCTGAAGCTTGGAGCAGAGGTGGGGGGGGGGGCGGGTGACAGGCTGGGTCGCACAGCACCTTGTAGCACAGCAAAGAGTTTGATTTTATTCCAAATTCAATAGCAAACCATTAAGAGAGTTTAAAAAGCCATTTATTATTATTATTATTATTATTCTATTTTTAAAGATTAGTGGTATATTTGGTAAGGTAATTGTACTTGGGAGTGACTGGATATCCCTGTTAGGACATGTGAAATGTGCTCAACTCTTTTTTTGTGTGCAGATTCCTTACTGAAATATATAACGTATTTCACTGCTCTTGGTCATTCTCCCTGGGGCTGTGGTAGGGACATCTGATAACCAGAAAGCTCTCGAGGAAGGGGGATTAGCCGGTCCCTCAGGGAGGATTTGATAATCCTTGAGTCTGGACCTATCCATTATTTCCCTTGGTAAGGAGCTAGACGCCGGGGGTGCCCACTGGGCCTAAAGCAAGGAGTCTATGTGTCTGTTCTCTTCTGTATCTACTCCTTCTCTGTCTCTGCTCCCTGGGACCATGGCCCAAATGAATGGCCTGCATTCACATCCATGTCTCAGAGTCCGCTTCAGGCTGACTCCACCGGGATATGAAGTTGAGTTGAAACAAAGGAAAAAAGAAGACGGCTTGCCCGGCACTCTGGCATCCTTTAAACCTAAGCTTTGTCTTCTTGTAAAGGGGGTGGGATGCTGTCATTAAATTCTAACCATTAGGACCTTGGGAAGCTGTGACAAGCCTAGAGTCGGAGCTGATCACGTTGCTCGCCAGGTCCGCTGGCCTTCAGTAACAGCTAGTGAAATGTGAGGATTAAGAAAGTCAGATTTTAAGAAAGAATATCTTGATATGCCAGCTACTGATGTGAATCCTAATGGAAGAGTTCGAAGGAAATGTGTGTCCTGCAGCTGTGATATATGACTTGGGGTGATAAATCTGTCAGAAGTTCCCTTACTTCCCCTAACCTCCATGACCCAAGGGCCCTCGTGATCTATGATGAATTGCAATCCAAACAATCAGAAGTACAAATTGCGGACGCCTGGGTGGCTCCGTCAGTTGAGCATCCAACTTTGGCTCAGGTCATGATCTCAAGGTTCCTAAGTTCAAGCCCCGTGTTGGGCTCTGTGCTGACAGTTCGGGACCTGGAGCCTGCTTTGGATTCTGTGTCTCCCTCTCTCTCTGCCCCTCCCCTCCCTGCTCGTGCTCTGTCTGTCTCTCTGTCTCTCTGTCAGAAATATATAAACATTAAAAAAAATTTTTTTAAGCTAACAAATTATTCATGAATATAATCTTTTGTGCAGAATAGGAATAAATACCTCAGATTCCTCTTCCAACTCAAAATATTTTGCCGAACACCTTTTTGGGTCGCGAACTTTTGCTAGGTGAATTTTTTTCATTTTGTCTCACAATGAAGCCATCAAGATGATGTTCAAGACCCAGAACTTTCTGGGGCACCTGGGTGGCTCAGTCAGTTGAGCGTCCGACTTCAGCTCAGGTCATGATCTCACGGTTTGTGGGTTCGAGCCCCGCGTCGGGCTCTGTGCTGACAGCTAGCTCAGAGCCTGGAGCCTGCTTCAGATTCTGTATCTCCCTCTCTCTCTGACCCTCCCCTGCGCACACTGTGTCTCTCTCTCTGTCTCTCAGAAATAAATTAAAAAAAAAAAAAAAAGGACCCAGAACTTTCTGATTTTCTTTATGAGGCTGTTAAAGTCATGGATCGGAGACAAGAGACATAGTGTTTTCCAAGGTCAAACCTGAGCCGACAGGAACAGCAACTGATTCAGTGATTCTGTGACCTGCGTCAAACTAAACATTCCACACGAGGCACAAATGTTACAAGACGTTGGGAAAGTAAATTCAGTCAGAAAACTGTCCCCAGTAGCATCTTTTATCATAGGGATAGCGTGTATTCAAACCAAGGCCTCCATATCACTAAATTCTGAGCTAATGCCATGGCAAATTTTTATTTTATAGTGATGTCCAATGTTAATCTTTGAAACAAGTCTTTTGTTTTGCTTTTTAAAGTGAATTATTAGGGGCACCTGAGTCGGTTAAGCATCCAACTCTTGATTTCAGCTCCGGGTCAAGATCTTACGGTTTGTGGGCTCGAGCCCCATGTTGGGCTCTGCACTGACAGCATGGAACCTGCTTAGGATTGTTTCTCCCTCTCTCTCTGCCCCTCCTTGCTCTCTCCTTCAAAATAAATAAACTTTAAAAATAATTTTAAAAAACCAGATAAAGTGCATTATTAAGTGTTCAAGGCCAACACATCAGGGCAAGACTAACTAGACTCAGGGATGAAGAGATTTGGGGGACAGAGAAAGTTCTTGGAAGAATTAAGGACAGAAAGAGTCCTTCTCAGTCAGCTCGTAGCCCGGCAGTCTCTTTTAATCCCTCCGGCTCTATGGCCCAATTAAATCATGGGATCATGAAAATAAAAGGGGCGGGATCCACCAGAAATGACGGGAGCGGGAAGTGGACTGTTAACTGATATTCCGAAGGACATGCGTGTAGCAGGTATTGGGAACCCGTCTCACGTGCCTCATTCTTGCTTCCTTAGGTACTTGGCATGCGGTGCCTATGAATTTTTAGATGCTTAACAAATGCATGTTTTACAACAGTCTGGAGTTTTTGAATTACTGACCGATGTTTATGTTGTATGTGACCCTTTTCGTGTCCGAGTTAGCTATGTGCTGCCAGATGATCGGTCTTCCAAAATCCTTGAACCCTCAACTAGAGAGTGCTGAAGGGGCCAAATGAGTTTTCAAGTACGAGCTGTCAGAAGTCCAAATCGAGAGTTCAGAGAGGTTAGAGTGCTTTCTCGGTGAAGACGCCGTAAGCTCGGAAGTATGAACACAGTAGGGAAAGTGGGTCACATTTTGTGAGAAAGAGTTTTCATCTCTAGTTCATAGGTACATCTTTTGTTTTCTTATTCTTCCCTTAGATGCAATTTCAAGTCCTGAAATAATTCCACCTAAAAACTCATTATAGTCCTTTTAAAAGTTTCATTAGGACTTTACGTGGGAAAGTTAAATGTACAACCACGTTGATTTTCCAGTGGTGGCCAGAGCATTGTCACCACAGCCAAATTCTTGCCCCGACTCTGCTTCTTCACACGTGACCATGAGTACTAGTTACCCCTGAGGGTTCTGGTTGCTCTCCGGTAAACTCCAACTCTCATAGTTTAGGGGTCTAAGGCATCAAGGATGTTACTGGAGCACCTAAGAGAAGCGTCAAGTATAGACGTCCCTTGGTGTGGCCCTAAACCATGTCTTACCGAGTCACATTTGGGGACAAGAATTGACTTGAGAGTTTTATTTGTTTTTTCCTCTTTACGTTTTCTACAATGAGCATGTATTGCTGTTGCAATAAAAATGTTCTGGGCAGGGGAGGATGAAATTAAAATCTAGGAAAAACAGAAGTAAAGATCTTATCTAAGCCGGAGGAGTATGAGGAAGTCCCCGGAGGCGCCGCTCTCTAACTGGGGTGTGTCCCTGGCTCAGACTCACCATCAGGATCCCGGAGAAGCTGCCTGTCCGCCACCCCACCGAGAGGTGCCGGTTATCAGCTCACCATCGGGGTGGTGGGTGGAGTCGGTGTCAACTGAGCCCCGCTGTGACTGATCCTCCCAGATCGGGGCGCAGTCAAAGCGCGGGCTGCGTGGGCCAAACACGGCCGGTGACGTGGGCGGGAGCAGGTGGAGGCTGCCGGTGCCCCCAGGTGAGCGTGCCATGCCACCGTGCTGTTTTGCAGCTCGCCCTTGCATCGTGGGGCAGTGGAGCCCCTGGAGCGGCTGCGCGGACCGGTGCAGGCCGGCGGGCCGCGTGCGGAGGCGCCCGGTGCAGCAGGAGCCCAGCAACGGCGGCGCGCCCTGCCCGCCCCTGGAAGAGAGAGCCGGCTGCCTGGACTACTCGACGCCCCAGGGCCAGGACTGCGGGCGCTCCTTCGGTACTGAGGGCTTCGCGGTGGTGGCTGCCTTTGTTGTCTCTGATGACGTCCCGTAAGAGGGCAGGTGCCGAGCGGGGCGAGTTCCGCGCGCTGCGGGCGGTGGGCTGGGCCAGGCCGCCCCCGGAGCAGACAGGAAGCTCGGGAAATGTTGATAAAGGAGTGAGTGTCAGCTGCGTCGGTGCCGCCCTGCTCCACCCCCGCCCGGTGTTGTCATAACCCAGTGGTGGCCCCTTCTCCTCCGGGCGCGCTCAGGGCACGGGACATGTGCCCTGTGGTTTTTACGCAAACTGGAGCTGGAGACAAAGGACTTTAGGGAGGGTGACAGCGTTTCACCCTGGAGCAAGTGCCCATAAGGGTAACTTAACTATCCATCTTGCACTTAAAATTCTTGTTCGGTCAGGTACGCTCATCACATGCATGTGAACGTAGTAGAAAAGAGATTGATTCCTGAACAATGTGACATTACCCCCCGTAAATCCCTGGTTCCCCCCTCAAGCTGACTGAATTGGGGCTGATGTGATCAGATTTGTGATTTGAAAAGGTCATGCTGGTCGTGGTGTGGCCCATGGAGGGGCCAGAAGTCAGCTCATGAATGAATTGGGAGCCATGGAAAGCAGACAAAGAAATAAGGGAAAGGGCTAACATCCCGTGTTGATCCGAATTGAGTCTGATAGAGGAAAACACTGCCTTCTCAAGATAACAAAGATCGTATGTTTTTAGAGGAAGCTGGATATTTTTATGCCAACCTGACCGTCATGAAGCCATTTTGCTCCCTTTTTTTCATTCTGTGCACAAATATTTATTTATTTTAATTTTAAAAGCAAGACATTTATTTTATAAATCATATCACAGGAGCGCCTGGGTGGCTTAGTCGGTTAGGCATCCGACTTTCGCTTAGGTCATGATCTCGCGGTTGGTGGGTTTGAGCCCCGCGTCGGGCTCTGTGCTGACTGCCAGCTCAGAGCCTGGAGCCTGCTTCAGAGTCTGTGTCTCCCTCTCTCTGTGACCCTCCCCTGCTCACGCTGTCTCTCTCTCTCTCCTAGAAATAAATAAAACATTAAAAAAATCATATCATAAATCACAGCTGTAGCCTATACCAACACTATCATAAGTGCAGCACATTAAGATTTTAGGCATTGTTATTCCATCCTGAACCATATTCTCATGTTTTACAAACCAAATAACAGAAGTCTTGTACTAGTAAAACATTTCAGCTTTTTATGACACATTTTAGGAATATTAAGATGCCATGAAAACAGAGCCCTTCTAGATTGTAGTCTAATTGTGCACAAATATTTATTAAGAGTCTACATGATACCAGCGACTGGGCTTGGTGCCAGGGTTACACAGGTGACATATGTTGACGTGGAGCATGTTGTCATGTGGATCACCGTCTGGTGGGAGCGGAAGATGATAAGCAGATGATCTTAGGAAAGTAATTCCAGAAAATTAGGGCTGCAGTTTGGTGCAGCTGGTACTGAACAAGGGAGAGACGTTCGGAACAAGCGTGTGTATAATAGACTGATTTCCCCTGATCTTGAGGGAAGAGGGGAAGGGAAGGGACTTTCCTAAGGATGGGGAGGTAAGGCTGAGAAGTGTAGAGCTTTCTGGGCAGAGACTGGCATGGGGAGCCAGGTAGTCGGGTGTAGGGAGTTCAAGGGATTTGGGGGCCGATCTAGGAAAAACAGGTCCACGAGAGGTGGGAATACGCAATAAGCTTAATGGGGCGGTGCTCGGACAGTGTAGCGTGAGAAGGGGAAGTCCAGAGGCTCTGGTGTGGGGACCACCACGCAGAAGGGGAGAAGAGGAGTCGGCCAGGGCGACGTGTCTACGTGATGTCAGCTCCAGCATGGTCTGGACTGTATGGGGCAGAGTTTCAGAGAGCAAGGGTGGCAGC